CTATTGGCCGGGAGGCATTGGAGATGTGAGTAGATTCTGCAGGTCATGTGACATCTGCCAAAGGACAATACCTAGAGGGAAGTTAGCCAAAGTGTCATTGAGGGAGATGCCTCCCATAGAAGAGCCATTCAGCAAAGTAGTTGTGGACTTGATCAGGCTACTAGCGCCTGTGTCTGACAAGGGCAGCTAGTGTGTTCGGATAATAGCCGATGCCCCCAGTGGCACAGCAGGATATCTGCAGATTTACAGTGCTAGAAACCTGGTTTCGATACCAGTGGTGGGTAGAGCACAGATAGCCCATTGTGTAGCTTTGTGCTTAGATTCAAACAAACAAACAGTAGCCAACTATGTGACACATTATCTGGAAGCAATAACTCTGGCAAAGATAGACACATTGAGGGTAGCAGAAGCCCTCCTGGAGATATTTTGCAGAGTAGGCTTTCCGAGAGAAATCCTGAGAGATAGAGGGACCAAGTTTACTTCAGAACTGATGCAAGAAGTTTGCAGACTCATCAGTACTCAGCAACTCTTTACCACCCTGTACAATTCTAAATTTAATGGACTTTGTGAGAGAGTCAATGGAGTTTTAAAGAGTATGCTAAAGAAGATGTGCCTAGAGAGACCACATGACTGGGATAGGTACTTGCAGGCAGTATTATTTGCTTATCGAGAAGTCCCACAAATAAGTACAGGGTTTTCACCCTTCGAGTTACTGTATGGAAGAACAGTATGAGGTCTGATGCAAATACTGAAAGAACTATGGACAGGAGAAAAAGTGTCAGAAGTAAGGAACACATACCAGTATGTGTTAGACCTCAGAAACGGACTGGGGGAGACCTGTCAACTCGCTTGACATAGTTTGCATGCAGCTCCAGGTAGTCAGAAGCATTTTTATGACAAGAAGGACAAGGATCAACATTTTAAGGTTGGACAAAAGGTCTTAGTTCTACTGCCCACAGACTACAACAAACTCACCCGGCAATGGAAAGGACCTTTTGAAGTACAGGAAGTACTCAACAGAATGGACTACAAGGTGAATGTGAATGGGAAGACCAAGACCTACCATGCCAATCTGTTAAAGATGTATTTTGGGAGAGAAGAAGACCTAAGGGGTGCAGCTATTGAAACAGATGAATGTTGCATATGTGGCCATCATAGCTGCAGAACCAGAAGACAGTGACCTTGTCTTAGAAGATGAGGACCTATTAGACCTAAGTCCACTAGGTGGAGATGAAACATACAAAGATGTCAACATCAGCAAAGAACTGACTTGCAAGCAAAATAATGAGTTACAAGACCTACTGTGCCAGTACACAGATATCTTCACGGATAAACCAGGAAAGACAAACATTGTGCAACAGAAGATTGAGACCACAACCAGGGATCCAGTCAAAGTAAAGCCCTTTCAGATGCCTTATGCAATGAGAGATATGATAAAGCAGGAAGTTGAGGCAATGTTGGAAGCTGGAATCATCGAGCCTTCAAATTCAGCTTACTGTTCACCAGTTGTAATCATGAAGAAGAGGGACAAATCAAACTGTTTCTGCATAGACTTCTGGAAGCTGAACCTCGCGACAAAGTTCGATTCTGAACCTATGGGTAACCCAGAGGCCATCATGGCAAAACTAGATGGGGTCAGGTTCTTTTCAAAGATTTATAACAGTAAAAGTTATTGGCAAATCCTGATGAGATGGGATTTAAAGTGAAGACAGCATTTGTGACACGAGATGGATGTTACCAATTTAAGTGGGTGCCATTTGGGTTAGTCAATTCAGCAGCAACATTCAACAGCATGATAAGGAGAATGCTGCACAACACCAACAACATTGAGCACTATGTGGATGGCATTGTGACACACACTGCAAGATGGGAAGACTATCTGAAGAGACTTAGACAACTGTTCCAGCGAGTGAGGGCAGCAGGCCTCACCATCAGACCATCCAAGTGCTACATCGGATATTCTGTGCTGGAGTTTGTTGGACATAAAGTGGGGGACTGACAGATAGCCATGGAAAAGGAAAAGATAATCTACATATAAGATACACTAGCTCCAATGACCAAGCAGCAAGTCAGATCCTTCCTGGGGTTAGTGGGATACTACAGGAAATTCATCCCAAATTATGCTGATATTACTGCACCATTGACTGACCTAACCAAGAAAGGCTTGCCCAACAAGGTGAAATTGGAACAACCACACCAGATGGCATTTCAGAAGTTAAATAACATGTTGGGAAGCTTACCAATTCTTAGAATTACAGACTTCAACAAATCACTCATTGTTCAGGGTGATGCTTCAGACATTGGAATTGGGATAGCACTCTTACAAGAACATGAAGATGGACTGTTTCCAGTAACTTATGTAAGTAAAAAGCTGTTAAATAGTTAGAAGAATTACTCTGTGATTGAATGAGAGTGTCTGGTCATTATATTTGCCACTTGGAAATTCCAGAACTATCTATATGGGAAGGAGTTCATCATCCAGATAGACCATCAAACATTTGCATACATTCATAGTTGCAAGGATCATGAGGTAGGCATTGTACCTTCAGAACTACAGGTTCTGCAATGAAACTATCAAAGAGACTGCAAATGTTGGAGCAGACTTTGTGTATGAACTAAGAACAGTCTTTATATATAGCAATAAAAAATTGTAAATATTTTATCTTGAAGAGGGGTTTATGTCATGATATAAAAGGCTGTTTCGTTTAGATATTAGTGATTAATTTATTTTTGTGAGTGAATATTTTATTATTGTTTAGTTTGTCATAATAAGAGTTAAAAGCAGACGATTGTGTGAAGTTTTGTTAATAATTCATTGTCGTCGAGAATATAGAAGGGGACAGACGATTAATCATTAAGTGATAAAGATATAAATAGCGTAAGACGAGCGGGAACAGCAGACAGATAATAGCAAAAGAGAATAACGTTGGTGTGAAGTTAACTACAGTAGAAGTGATAGGCCTAATGATTGACATAGGCCTAACTTTTAATATGTTAAGAGTGAAACTAACAGTAGAAAAGAAGATAACGAAAATAACTTTATTCTGTCAAAGCGTGGTTCTAAATTAATTGAATCAGTGTGAGTGCACTTTGACAAAAGGAACAGAGGATTTTCAAAAGAAAGAAGACCAAACGGTTACTGTAACTTGCACCACAATTGTAAGAGAATCACAGAGAATACTATTACTAGTGCGATAGAAATAGAGGATAGTTGGTCTTGTCAACTCTAATTCTAAAGTAAGTGAATAGGCCTAAGTGTATATTTGACAAGAAGGACAGAATTATGTATATAGTATTTATGATATGTCCATAATATCTATAGTGTTGAAGAATTTATTGTAGATACGTTTACTTGTTCCGAATATATATATTATTTTGAAAACAAGTGAAGTGAGTGCTGTTTATTCATCTTTGAATTTATCGCTAACAAGTCACAGACACCTACTGTAGAAGAATCCTAAGCCCAATAACAACATAGTATATATTTATACAATTAAGAAATATAACTAAAAGCCTTTCTATTTGACAACTGGCAAAAAGGAAAGTTAACCTATACTTGTGCAGAAATTAGTTCACCAATGAATAATACAATGTGTTATTTACCTGTGACATCTCGTACACTTTCTTGTGTGAAATATTTCTGTAATGTCAAACATACTAGATAGAATTAGATGGTGATCTTTTGTACTGATGTCAGGTGATACCTTGAGAATACATGCTCCCTTATTTTTCGACCCACTCTCTGACACCAATTTGTTAAGTCTCTGTTCGTTAGTTAATTTCCCGTATAATTTCTTTCCGATGAAACTTTAGCGACACCAGTCCTTTCTTAAATAAAACTAGTTTATTCTTTCTCAATACAACTTTGAAATTTACTTAATTTCCACGGTCACGCTATAACTTAAACTAATGCTATAATTCACAACAAACGACTCACGCGCTCGACCCAACTGTCCGTCTCTATCTCTGTCTGCAATTCAATTACATTGTTGCCGTCAGTTCTTGGCGGTCTTATATACAAGAATACCGTACATCTAGGAAACACTCGAGGCTTCAGGAAGGGACATGAATTTTCTAGAAGTTCATGACGTGTTACTAGGGTCACGTGACTTCCGCTGTCGTAACAATATATTTAGGCCTACTATATTACCAGTTTTACTCCATTATATATATATTAGCACCATTATATGTATTTTAAGTATGTTGCGAAGTTTTAACACCCCTCCAAAGTTATTAGGTGTCTAAATGTCCTACTTCCTCATTCTTTTAGGTGTCTGGTGTCTAGTTGTCCGGTTACCGTTTCGTCTGTATAATACTAAGGTTTCTCTGTTTGGAACAAATTCTTTGCAGATTTCCATTAATTTTAGCACATATTTCTAAGACCTCTCAAATTTCCAGTTTTACGTGGTTCCTAGTCCTTTCGTTCTTGATAACCAAGTCAAAAGTCAGGAAATACAGTTAAATTCTGCATAACATTGTCTGTTAAGCCTTGTGTTGTTTTGAGGACCTATTCGACTACTCTAAGGAAAATCAGTGCACCTGAGAATAACACAGTACCAAGTTCGTGATAAGCGAAAAACAAACAAATATACACTGAGAGAATCCATCTTACATTTTAAGCTTTCAAGCTACATTTGGACTATTTTCATTGATATCTTGACCCCTAAACCGTATTAGATAAGCCAGAAAGCAATAGCTGGAGGGTTTAGATGTTGTTGGTTTTAGAATTTGTATATAAAATTAGATCTATTGGAAATAATTGCATATTACTTTCCACATTTCAAATGTAATTGTTCACAATCAGATTACCGTCTGAAGTTCAACTTCCCTCCAAACTTATAATTATGTTGAATTTTACCCCCAGTGGCACAACGGTATGTCTGCGAACTTACAACGCTAGAATCCGGGTTTCGATACCCGTGGAGGGCAGAGCACAGATAGCCCATTGTGTAGCTTTGTGCTTAACTTCAAACAAACAAACAAACAAAATGTTGATTTTTTTTCGCATAATTTTACAACTTATCCCCGGTGCCAAAGATCTGAACTACCCTGTGGCCTACGTAAAATATATGAATAATAATAATAGTAAAACATCTCGATCAATTCAATGAAAAGTACGTATACGTTACGAATGAGAGAGGAAAAGTCAACGTTCTTCTAGTACGTTAGCCGACGCCCTCAGAGAAATACCGTAGGATATGGAAATTAGGACTGATGGTTATACTACTTACTTGTGTTACACTTACAGTTGTAATTTTGATGTTTTCCTTACTTAGCTGTTAAATTATAGAGTCTGTTCACGTTTTGTAAAATTCTGTATTCATATTATTATTACTAGTTATTGATATACTTGACTTCAGACTGTTCAAATTCAATTTCATTTGCAGTCTTATCCTTAGGTAAGTTTTTCTTGTGTAACTTATTTTATAATCCATACCTAACGCTCGGTTAATTTTGCAATTTCATGCAGGAAAAAAGTTAGGCTTAACTTTTGCCGTGGCACGTAGGCGAGTAAAATTAATTAGACTATCCATTTTTTTCTCTCTCGTAAGTGTAGTTATCAGAAGAAATCGTGATTGTTCTAGTTTTCGGAACATTTTTGTCGTTGTCAGAAACGCAAAACTTAGTTTTTAGATTATCCTTATTTCCATGCATTTCAATTTGTTCAAACATTTAACGTATTTTTTCATACCTTTACGCACAGGATAACAACGAACGATAACTGTGAAAGAGTGTTGGCCAGTTTTTAAATTTTACTCGAGCCTTAGGAGAGTGAAAAACCACTCAAAGTACTATTAGTTTTAATAAAAATTAAAAGTAAAACTTAAAAAGTATGAGTGGTTTCACTCTCCCAAGGCTCGAATAAAACTAAAAATTATATTAATACTGGGTAATGGTATTAGTAATGCAATACCTCAGAAATCTTTTTCTCAAACAGTGAAACAGTGCATTACTTATTCTTGAATGTGTAAAATAAATTTAAAAAAATAATGAAAATCTCTTTGTCCATATTGGCAGCATTCACCTGACTATTTAATGCTATAATTAGAAAAATAATAATATTTTTTCTTATCAGAACAGCCATTTGCAAGTGAAGCTGATCATCTGAGCAACTTTTCATATTTTTATGCTAATTAATCATTAGTATTTTTCATTAAATAAAATTAACAGGCTGTACAACTTATAATTTTCCAGGATCTTTACCAAATTTTTTAATTAATTTTTTATCTTGCTTGTTCTAGCTGAGAAAAAACAAACAAAAAAACACGCTTCCATTATACAGCCATTTACATTTCAGATTAACCCTCATTAGAAGAAAAAAAATTTATATCTTGACATTTTATCCGAGTTGGCTTGTTAAATCCATCGAGTTGTAGTGAGTATGTATTATTCAGTAGTAGGCTGTAGCATGGTGAAGCAAAGTATAGTGTTAACCTTGCAAGGTAGCATCATGTTCATGGATGCTGAACTTATTGGAACAGTCAAGCATAAAAAAAAAAAAACCAGAAAAACTCCATATATCTTCAGCATAAAAAAATTTAAATCTTCACCAAAAGTGGTTGGCCAAGACCTTTAAGTAGTCTCTAATTGGGAAAGCATATCAACTGTTTCATCTTTGTTGTATCAGTGCTATGATAAATTAAGCATTTGCTATATAGCAAAATCTGGATGAATGAATGGCAGATGGCTTTTAATTATAAAAGCAGAGTATGCATGTGGGGTATGAGTAATTTTGATGAGTATGACCTTAACAGTGTTATGGAACAAAAGGACCTTGGTGTTATAGCTGATCAGACTTAAGCTATACAAGCAATATGTTGTTGCTAGTGGCAGGACAAAGAGGATTTTAAGTTGTATCTACAGAAATATTAAATATAAACCCAAAGAGGTTATAATTTCATAGGTTAGACAACATTTTGAATACTGTGTTTAGTCTTGAGGTCCTTATCTTTGGAAGAATATTAAAATGTTGGAAAGGGTTCAGAGGAAAGCTACTAGTTTGTTACCTGGAATGGATAGGCTGTCAAATGATGACAGATTAAGATCTCTGAAATTGTTTTCTCTTTGAAAAAAATATGAGGTGTTTAAGATTGTTTAGGAAATTGATAGTGTTGATGCATCATTTTTTGTGTACTTATTGTGAGAATAGTAGGATTAGGGTATAAATTATGGCAAAATAGGAATCATCTTCAGGTAAGACAGCTTTATCTGTCTAATAAGCTGGTTGGCCCCCTTTGGAATGGAAGGCTTTATAAGTATTTGAATGATAAGGGATGGCTTTAAATGTTAGTGGATGGGATGGCCTAGATAGACCAATAGGTCCCTTGTAGTCCTCAAATTCTAGGTAATGTGTATGTAGGTAAGGCC